TACTTTCTTGTGTATGAGAGACAAAAATCTCTTCGATAATGACGATCTCTTTTCTGTTTCGTTCATTGTAGTAATTTCTAATATTCCAGAGAGGTAGTCCTGGGTATTGATCAGAATCGACATTTATGTACTAAACAGAGATGAGCGAGTCGGATTTTACAAAACTGAACTTCATGTATCCGTTGATATAAATTAACATCTTCAATAAAATAATCATCAATAGTTGCTATATACAAAAAAGATACTAGATTAACACAACAGAGCCTGAATTACTTTGAATAACATTAGTTAATTGATTATTTTCTCTACTTGATGATATATTAGATATTGCTGTTATTGAATCTACATCAAAATTTGGCATTAAAATTCTTTCTCTTAATTTTGATGAAAGAAATTTTAAAACAGTAAATATGTAAGATCAATATTATTATTCGTTATACTACAATGACTGATTCTAATTACGATTTTTTCTCCTTTTCGGTTCGTATTATTTTTTAATCGCATTACAATTATGCAATTAAACATATACTGAGGAAACATTCTCGTACATTTCAGAAATATCATATATATAATTTCTAGAATATTGATTATTCTGAGACTTCTTAAATATTTAATAAGTAATTACATATTTCGTTTAGCCTTTTATTTATTAATTACTATTATTTCATATAAATCAAAACAGTTTTATATATCTACTCATCTTCCTCAGAAAAGAGAATTCATTCTATTGTTTCTTTTCTACTACCAAAACGAACATATTTCTAGTATTAAAATAATGATTTATTTATTGAATCTGATTCTATTGCAATATTTTCATTCGTATAGTTTGATATTTCAGAATCTGATGACAATACTAAAATAAATGTATCTAATTTAAGTATATAAAAACTTATTTGAGACAAACCTATTTCGGTCGACATTGAATATACAAAATAGAATCGCTTTAACAACAATACAATTCACAGATATAATAAGACTATAATGAATTTTATATTTTGAGTTCGCGCCACAATAACTCACCACACGATAGAAAACATAAAATGTAAATTTTTTTTTGTAAATAAACTGTATAGGAGAATAAAATATATTTTTTTAAGTATTTTTTTATATGAATAATTTATTTTGTTTATTCCATTCCTAAAACAAGAAAACTGAAATCTTTCAAACAACGTTTGGTGAAAAGAAATTATATGATTTTACTATCACCTTTAAACGTATTTAAATCATCTAGTAGCTTGTATTTCTTTATTATACCATTGAACATCATATTATTAAAAAAATATCCTTTTACTTTCATTTGTAAATAATTTTAAATTATATAGTTGTTTTTTTTCGTTTATCTAACCAATAAGGAAAGTTTGGTGAAAAGAAAAATTAGATCATTTTATTATCATTTTTAAAAGTACAAAAAAGTTATATTAATTTAGTATCGTTTTTTAATGTATTTAAATCTTCTAATACTTTGTATTTTTGTTATTGTATCATTTAGTAGCGTCTGATGAAAATAAAAATTAATACAATTTTACTAACATTTTTCAATATATTAAAATTATACAGTTACGTGTATATCTTTGTGCTACCATTCAGTGATAAAAAATAGAAAAAAAGATATAATTTTATTTTGATTTTTAAATATGTTTAAATTAAATAGTTCCTTGTATATTTTCTTTATTAGATGATTGACCAGAGTTTGATGAAAAAGAAATTAAAGGACTTTGCTATCTTTTTTAAATCCATCTAATCCTTTATTAGATTGTATTTTTATATCATATCATTGCGCAGCGTTTGAAGAAAAAAAAAGTGTATGATTTTATTATTTTTTTTACATGTATGAAAATCATCTATTAGCTTCTATTTTTTTACCATGACATTGAACAGTGTTTAAAGAAAAAAAAAAAATTTACTAGCATTTTTAAATCTCTTTAAACTTTTTAGTTACTTGTATGTTCCTTTTATCAGATCATTAGCAGAGTTTGATGAAAATGAAAGAAACTATATAATTTTACTATGATTTGGAAATACATTTAAATTATATAGTGTGTATATCTTTTAATAATATAATTGAGTAGGGTTGCAAAAAACAAATTGAATATTTCGATCATGAAACTAGGCACGAAAAAGAGTTTTACAAAGAATCAAACTGTTGTATGTACCATAATCGTCGTCTGTGTCAGAGTGAATGTATTTTACACAGACGACTTTTTTTTAAAATTCATAGTAAAAAAATAGCTGTAGTAATTTCAATAACCATGTAAAATTTTAAATAGCTATGATATTTTTAAACAGTTGTACCCCTTTTAAATAGCTGTATGTTTAATTAAAAAGTATCTCTTTTGAGAAGCTACGGTATCTAAGCCTTCTCATGATCTTACTCAGAGTACATCACGATTGTTCTTCGAACAGTTTCACATAACTTATCAAAAGCCTTATAAAATTTCACCGACATTCTGTATACAAATACTTAGGAGATTCTTCGACAGATCTACATACATCATACAGAAAATCATGTATCCTTAAGGTTTCCTAAAAAACATAGGGATTAGGTTTGATATTTTGTTGTTCAACGATTCGATATTCTTCTCACAAGATACAGATAGAATCTTCTCTGATATTCATATAAATGATCATTCTGCCAAAAAGATTCTGAATTCTTGTAATTCTGAATAAAATCCTCAGATCCTTATGTTTTTCTATCAAAAACTTACATGGAATTAGTATTACTCTTTCTTGGAGAACCTCCTTACAACAATCTCCAGGTGTTATTTTTATGATCAAAAGCATCTTGGGAAGAATTAAAAGTAACATAGATGTAAGAATCGTTATCAAATCCTTTTTTCTCATAGAAAACTAAGAAAAGACTTCTGAATTTTTATCTGTGGAATGAGCATTTTCAAAGACGAATGTCGTATTTCTAGCGCTTGCTCTCACGCGAGACAAGATCCCTTCGACAAAGACGATTTCTTTTCTTTTTCCTTCATTGTAGTAATTCTCAATATTCCAGTCGATGCCCGATGGGCCCAGAATGGTGTGACTGTTGCTGGAGATCATGGAAAAGGCAGTGCCACCAATCAACTCTACTACCCTCACGGTCTCTTCGTTAATGATGATCAAACGATAGTCATCGCTGACTGCTACAATCATCGTATCATCCAATGGAAGATGGGTGATACGAATGAACAAATAGTAGCTGGTGGCAATGGCCAAGGAAATCGATTGGATCAATTGTATCAACCAATTGATGTATTGATTGACAAAGAGACGGATAGTCTCATTATTTGTGATCTAGGGAATCGACGAGTCGTTCGATGGTCTCGTCGTAGTGGTACAACTCAAGGAGAAATTCTCATCGACAACATCTCGTGTTATGGATTGGCCATGGATGATCAGAGATATCTTTACATCTCTGACCCCAACAAACATGAAGTAAAACGATATCAAATAGGAGACAAGAATGGAACTATTGTGGCTGGTGGCAACGGCAAAGGTGCTGGTCTCAATCAACTCAACTGGCCGGCCTACCTCTTTGTCGATCAACAACAGACTGTCTACGTGTCAGACAACGAGAATCATCGTGTAATGAAATGGAATAAAGGTGCAAAAGAAGGAATTGTCGTCGCTGGAGGTCAAGACAAAGGGAATGCTCTGACACAATTGTCGTACCCTCGAGGACTGTTCGTCGATACATTGGGTACCATCTATGTGGCAGACTCGGGGAATGATCGAGTAATGCGTTGGCCTAAAGGAGCGAAACAGGCCACTGTCATTGTGGGTGGAAATGGTTACGGAGAAGGAGCAAACCAGTTCAAGTCTCCCATTGGTTTGTCCTTCGATCGACATGGCAATCTCTATGTCGCCGATAAGTTGAATCATCGTGTTCAACGCTTTTTAATCGAATAGACTCGTCGTGATAGATTTTTTTTTGCGTTCCTTTCGTTTCAAATAAATTGCATTGAATTGATGAAATGAATAGCTTATTCTATTCGCACGCGACCAGGAACCATCCTGGTGGAGCCGTGGCGAGCGTAACGCTCATGCACGCACAGGACAGACTCATATCATTCATTCCCTCCCCGCGAGAGATATGTCAATGAGTCTGAATAAGCCTGGTCGTGTGCCACGGACACCAAGATAGTTCCTGGCCAGTGTTTAACGTCTAACCTGAGAAGACGATCTAACTAACACCCATAACTCTATCTCACTCTCTCTCTCTAACTATAAAGAAAAAAAAGAAATGTATACTTACAATTCTAATAATTGATATTGAATGCAAGACGATGATTATCTAGAAGAAAAAGAAAAAAAAATTATTTAGATTTGTTTAAATTTAAAATAAGACTTACTTTCTATTATATCCACTGAAAAGAGAAAAGAAAAAAAAACATATTTTCAGAAAAATTAATAGGTTGCATATCGCTAACCCATTAATCTTAATGATATATATAATTTAAAAAAAAAGAAAAAAAAATTAAAATAATACCCACATATTTATATTGTATTGCTTGATATTATTTTGTTTTGTTTTGTACCATTAAGTCCATCCTAAAATATAATAAGAAAATTTGTTAGTTGATTCATGTAAATGAATAATTTTTACATTGAAAAATCATTCATTTATATACACTTGAAGAGAGTTATTTTTTCTCTGGAGAGACACAATTTTCTTTTTTTTCCACTCTCCAAAGAATTGTTATTAATAGAAGCTATTAATTAAACTTCATTCCATATATGCTTATACATAAAGCTTAATTGATTGCACACTTTATGTATATATGTAATTATTGATCATCAAAATGTACATGATCAATACACATATTGAATGAGATTGAGAAAAAAACATGGTCATTGTCTTGTACAGAATCATATAGACGATATTCGTTGTTATCTTGTCGATGAATGTTGTCACATGTTTCTCTGCTATTATATACAATGCAAAAAAAAAAATTATTATTTTATTATGATGAAATCATCAATATTTTATATCAACAAGGAAAATCATATGTTTTTTGTATTATAAAATGTTATATCAAACATAATAATTTATTTGAAAAATTAAAAAGTACATTAAGTCATAATCATATTTAAATGAATTTTTTTTCATTTGTTAAATTATTTTTCTATCGAGAAAGTCTAGAATAGTTTTAGTTGATAGCTTATAAAAATTTTCTATCAAAAGTCATTAGAAACAAATCTATTTAAGGTTGGTCTCTCTTCAAAAAATGTATAATTTTCAGAAAAATATTATCTCTACGTCTAAACTTATTTAATATTATATTTTGTTTCTCAAAAAACGTACTTTTTAATGAGAAAAATAGAAATAACTCTTGCTCAATTCATTATAACAGCAAAGTTTGTTTTTGTCTA